TAATATTGTATGTTTCTACATTTTATAGGCAGATTTACAAACAAGTACACAAGTTATTCCACTCTCTAGCAATAACCTGGAAGGAAAAGAATTAGCACCTGACAGTACAGTGGATGAAGTTATTCATCATGAAGTTAAGGAAATAGGTACACATATGTAAGGATATTTATAAGTTTCTGTATTAAAAAATTCATTTTTTCTTCAAATGTAAAATATATCTTTCTTATATCTCTAGATTAGTTTGTGAAGTATCTTATACAAATCAGATTGGACCTCCACTGTCATTTAGAAAATATTTCAAGTTCCAGGTAGTTAAACCACTTGATGTGAAGACTAAATTTTATAATGCAGAGGTAATACCTAAGTATTTAGTTATATTAATACTATGATATATTAATGCTCTTATTTGTGTGTGTGTGTGTGTATTACTTTCGCGGTTTCATGATATTTATTAAAGTCAGATGAGGTATATCTCGAAGCACAAATACAGAATCTAACAGCTGGGCCAATTTGCTTAGAAAAAGTTGCTCTTGAATCGTCCCACTTATTTAGCGGTGAGTTCTCATATACTGTAATGTTGACTAAAGCATGTATTCATAATTCTTATATTTAAGATGTCATAAGCCAATCAAAGAGCCGTATTAGCATCTTTAGATACTTTTGAAATAAGGTGATTATAAATACCGGCTTAAAAGCCTTAAACTCGAAACGCGTCATATTTTAGTGACTACATTAAATACAAACGATGAGGGAGACTCTATCTACGGAAGTGTAAATTTATTAGATGCAGGCTGTAGTAGACAATATCTATATTGTTTAAAGCCACAGTTAAGCTTGTTAAAAGATCCGAAAATGATGCAAAATGCAACAAATATTGGCAAATTGGATATTGTGTGGAGAAGTAATTTGGGAGAAAGAGGAAGATTGCAAACAAGTCAATTGCAGAGAATGGTATGTTATACTATTCTTTAATGTGTACGTATAAAAGTTATGTATAAAATAATGCACCAACATAATTCGTTTGTCTCAGGCACCTGAGTATGGAGATCTGAGGGTTATCATAAAGGATATTCCTTTAAAGGCTTATCTTGAAGAACCAGTTAATTGTACATGTCATGTAATAAATACATCGTAAGTGTGAGTGCAAAAATACACAGAATTATCGTGAATATAATAACAATTCTTTCATTCCTCTGTACAGAGAAAGAAGTATGGAATTATTACTGAGTTTAGAGTCAAATAATTCCATAGCTTGGTGTGGGATGTCTGACACAATAATTGGCACTTTGAAACCTGGAGGTTCTATGGATATACCTCTCTGCTTCATTACTTTGGATACAGGCATTATCGTGAGTAACTTATTTATGAGAATTATAAGGATGCATTTTTTAATGCATTTTATTAAATATTGCTGTTTTACAGACTATTTCCGGTTTAAAACTTACGGACACATTTTTAAAAAGGGTCTACGACTACGATCTAGCACAAATTTTTGTTAATCAATTGGATTGAAAAATGCACATAACAAGAGCACTTTTATTAATTACACAGCATTTATTATTTATAAACATAATAAAAATGATGTCAAGATATTCTTACATAAAAATGAATATATTAGAGATGTATGTTAGAATCACTCTAAAGTGATAACGTTCATAAATATTCATCCAATGTTGCCATCCTTTCAGTTTCATTGACTGCTCCTACTGCACATGCGAGTAACATTTGAACGTCTCGTGGCTCATTGCCACCGAATACATATCCATTAGCTTTATCTACCGCGTTCTTTACTTGTAGCAACAATGCTTTGTTTGTAACGTCCAATGGTATAAAATTAACGAGACTATAGTCTTCAATTATTGATACTAGCGCAGTATTAAGTTTTTTGTACCTATAAAATATTACAAATATAAGTTTTCTCTGTATTTCAATTCTAATGACACATTTTTATTTAGCTATATTTGACTTACTTTGCAGTGAAGGGATTTTCATCCAACTGCTCCAAGAGATAATTTAAATCCAGTACTTCAGTGTAAAAATCTATATTGAATGCTAGCTGATCGCTGAACTTTTTCATTTCATCAAACTTTGTCATTATATTTACATGAGGTAACCCTATTTGTAACATCACTGTTGTGCAAAGAATTAGAGAGGATAGATATTTTCCTATAAATAATAACAATGATTAGTAATTTTTAACAGTTTATAATTGTTTATTTAACTAATTCGAGTAAATGAATTAATATCTACCAGGATCGCTGCAATGATGCGAATCCACGAGATGCACGCTGCATAATTTTACTAAATTCTGGTTTAATTTCTCTGCTATCTGGCTCACTGATTTATGATGCGTATATAACTCAACCTAATGCATTAACAATTTATTATTTAGCATTATATAGATATAAAGTAGAAAAAAAAATTTAAGAAAAACGACTCACTTGACCAGGACAATCAAAAATAAGGTAGTGATCCTTTAAATTCAAAACTTTAGTGATAAGCCATTTGATGTTGGTTTCTAAGAATTCCATACAGTAAATTAAAGCTCCATTTGGTCCAAGTCCAAAATGTGTCATGACCTCTTCATGTTTAATTAATTCAGATATATCTGCCGCTGGAGTATACTCCATATTTTCATTTGCCGGATCTAAAATGTTTGCTTAGATTTCAGGAAAAAAAAAGCATAACCGTACTTCTATCCTAATTCTTAACACTGTGCCAGTATAATGTTGCAGCACTGGTTTTTTTATCACCATACCTGTGCAACTGATATCGATACTGTCGTTAAAAGTTATAGAATAAATATTGAATTAACATACCGATATTAATGACAGCTACTTTCCTTCCAATGGACTCCAAAAATTTGGACATTGCATTGCAATATGTTGTTTTTCCACTACCAGGTGGGCCAATAACAAGTTGACCAAAGATTAAGCTCATGATACTTTAACTAATGTAACATTACCATGGTTTTATCTGATTTATAGCAGCAACAATGGACTTCAAAGTATTCAAGTCATAATCTTTTAGTGCTATTGATAGCAGTAATGGTTTCTCAATGTTAATTTGTTGTGCTATATATCTAGCAGCTAAATCAATGTCATTGTTCTCATTGCCAAAGACTGTCCTGCAAATTTTTATTAAATAGATAATGCATTAAGGCCCATCTGGATTTATTGTAACGCTACAATCATAGTTTTAATATTATCTTAAATAATATTTTTAATATTTTAAATGTTTTTAATATTGTTCTGTGGTTTAGCCTATCAATTGATCTCACGATGCTCATGGATTTCACCTAACCTTATTCTCATTATTGACTATCGTATCGCTAGATAAGCATCGTAATCGTAATGGGCCTTCTACAATAAGCTGTTAGTAATAAATTAGAAGTCAGAAGCTAAAAATTGACTAATCATAGTCAAATGCAAGAAGAATAATTGACTGTGATTGGTCAATTCCTAGCTTCTAATTTATTACTAATGGCTTATTATAGAATATGTATTATTACATTATTACATTATGATAATTATTATACTTCCTATGATTATTACAACTACATAACTTACAAATACATCATGACTTACTTTATTGTGAACACATCGCTACTGTAACCATTCGCAGCAGATTCGCGATTTATTATCAGCAATGTCCCAAACTTTTTGAAGTGTGTTACGATCAGTAACGTTCGATTGCTATAAAAATAAAAATATAACAGTGCAGTAAACAACACTTGTTTCTTAAAAAGATCGTATATAACTGTGCAGTACCTATAGGATTTTAAAACAATATCAGTGTGATAGGTATTTGTAACAATACCACAGGCACGTTCACTCATATTTCTTTCGCATTCCTAACTCCGAAGTCTCGCCAACTGACATAACCTAATTCAACTTCATGATGATCACAAATTATCAGGACATTCAGGACTAGTGATGCGATGAGTCGAGTCCTAAGCAGGGTTGGCAATTTAAGAGCTGCTTACGTATAATATGTATGTAGAATACGTATAATACTATAAAACGTACGTGTAATACGTATAGCCGGTTAGAGCAGCCCGTGAAAATTTAATAAGAAAGAGATCAAACTTGAGGTACAGCATATACAGTTAATACAGTGGCGCAAGACGCAACTCTCTGTCGGCACCTTTGATGTTAGTGTCGGCCGAAATGGAGTGCGCATGCGTGAAATAATAGCGTTTTCGGCCCGACCAGGTTTGCACCAACCTGGGTTGGATTAATGACGTTTTGTGCTCTCCTATTGGTAGAGCGGGTGACGTCAACCAATAGGAAAGATTAATCTGGATTAATCCAACCAAGGTTGGTGCAAACCTAATCAAGCCGAAAACGCTATAAGTTACCTAGCGTTGCCATTGTTACTACCTAAACTTCTTTCTCTTTTCATCCTTTTTTCGCTCTGTCAAAACTCACTATATTTATTCGCGTCGCATTTCAACAAATGCGTTGGAGTGAGTAAGAGCTGTTATAGGAGCATGTGAAGCATGCAACGCGAATAAATGTAATGAAATAATCTGTAATTTATGATTTATGAGCCCATTATAATTATAAAAATCATTATATATAGTATAAACTACTATTGTAATGAAATAATCTGAACTTAGTGAAAATTAATAAAAATAAGTTGTAAATGTATTAAAAAATAAAGAGAAAATGTAGAAAAATTAGGAAAAATATTAAATCACATTTAAAACATATATTTATATAGAGAAATATTCAAATATATTATATAATTGTAAATATATGCTATGAAAATCTAATGATTTGATATAAAAGAAAATTTATATATATATATATATATATATGTCCAAAAA